AATCCTTGTCGAAACGGTTCAAATCTGCACGCCCCCACTTTTGCAAACGAAGTTGGAAAGTATTTTGTGTCAAAGATTGTTACAATCCAGAGACAAATCGATGCTGATATTACAGATTTACCTGTCTCCGCATCCACCCCTGCTGATGGCTTTACTCGGTCCACTCCATCGTTATCTGCATTCAAGATCCTGTCTGCCAACAGTGTTAAGTCGCCTATCCATAACTCAACATTAAAGTCTTGCCCACTCGACCCAATGCCCTCTCGCTTGCTCAGCAGATATGATGCTCTTCTTCCCATCATTACTACGATCATTAACAAATCATTAGAAGCCGGACGCTTTCCTAAGTCCTGGAAGGAGGCAGTAGTATGTCCGTTACTCAAAAAGCCTCGTCTTGATATCACATTCAAGAATTTCGGACCAGTAAGCAATTCAGCTTTCTTATCGTAGCTCACTGAGAAAGCAGTCTTCCATCAGATACACGAACACATGGTCGACACGAATCTATACCCGAACGCTCAATCAGCTTACAGGGTGCATCATAGCACTGAAACTGCTCTTCTGAAAGTGAAGAATGACATCCTGCTCAATATGAATAAAAAACATGTAACCCTTCTAGTGCTACTCGATTTTAGTGCTGCTTTCGATACAGTCGAGCATAATATCTTGCTGGAAGCACTCAATACGCTGAGACTTGGGGGTAGGGTGTCCAAGTGGTTCCGATCGTATTTATCAGGGCGCAGTCAGAGGATATTAGTTCGTGGGTGTCTGTCGAAGAAGTTTGATTTGAACTGCGGAGTACCCCAAGGCTCCTGTTTTGGACCGCTCTTGTTTACCATCTATACGAGCTCGTTACTAGACGTCGTCGAAAAATATCTTCCATCTGTCCACTGCTATGCAGACGATACCCAACTTTACGTCTCTTTCCGCCCCGCAGATGAGACAGGTCACTTGGATGCCATTACTGCTATTGATTGTTGTATTAAGGCGATCAGGTGTTGGATGCGTGAGAATAAACTATTGTTAAACGTAGAAAAAACTGAGTTTCTTTTAATTGGCACGAAGCAGCAGCTCGCCAAAGTTGATATTGGACACATTATTAAAGTTGGCAAAGTAAATATAGCTCCGCACTCTCCTGTCAAAAACCTTGGAGTCTGGTTTGACTCAAACCTATCTATGGTTGATCATATCACCAAGACTTGCTCTGCAGCGTTTTACTATCTTTGTAACATTAGAAGAATTAGAAAATATTTAACAAAAGAATGCACGGAGACACTTATTCATGTCTTTATATCTAGCCGCTTGGTCTATTTTAACAGCCTCCTATTTGGAGTTCCTGAGTGCCATCTTCACAAATTACAGAGAGTCCAGAATGCAGCTGCACGCTTTATATTCCAGGAGAGCAGATTTTGTCATATCACACCTCTGCTCAAATCATTACACGGCTACCTGTAAAATATCGCATAGTTTTTCCTAATTACTTTTAAAGCAGTACATGGTCTTGCCCCGGCCTACATAAGTGAGCTGATTTCTGTTAGAGACACCGGAAGATATGATTTCCGTTCCAATGACGGCTTACTCCTTGCTCCTTGCAGGGGTAAAACACTCACTACGCTCGGCGATCGATCTAAATCGCCGCCCCTAAATTGTGGAACGATCTTCTGCGCTCTATCAGAAACACCCAATCTTTAAACAAGTTTAAGAAGGCCATTAAGGCTTTTTTTATTTGCCAAAGCTTTTTAATTCTTTGTATCTTCACGCTCAGCTAGATTGCAAGCTTATGTACAGTAGTAAAAATCAACCACGGCTAACACTCGTATAGTGTATAAAGTTTTATGTTCAAAAACAAAGCAGAACAAAACAGGAATGATGAAAAAAATAACCAAACTGGCCTAACTGTCAAAATTCATTCTAATCATGACAGCGTCAGAGCGACTGCGATCATGCTGAGGTCCATCGCGGCTAGTTCATCATGCGATCTCTGGTCATCGCAGTGAAGCAAGCCTCAGAAGCTACATCGGCCGCCCTTCGAGTGAAAAAATAATAACTTGCTCTGATATCCTTTCCGATATTTCGAGTGGAAGGCCACATCAGTCACTGCAGCCGAGTTTTACGGCGCCGTCATCCCGAGCGATCTTGATTACGTCTCGTGTTTCTCCCTACACTTCTTTGTTTCAATTGTTTCCATTGTTTTAAGGCGAGTTCGAAATGCATCTCTGATTATATTTATTAAGCCACATAACAGTCACTGTCCTTAATTGATAAACAAAAACAACTTTCCTCACGCTAGGAAGCCAATTACATATTGACTTGAATATCTGCACCTGACAACGACACTGAACGCGGGAACCAATCAGAGAATGATTTAAGACAAGAATTCAATAACCACGCGTTACGCGGGTTAGCAATTTCGTCCTAAAAATGGAACTGCGTGATTATCAGTTGAATTGAACGAATCATTCATTATACAAATGGATCTTTACGAGCTCGCTTTCGATTTACTGCTGGTACAGAAAGTTAAAATCAAGACTGTTCATGGAAGATTGCGATGTTGCTTAAAAAAAAACTTATTAAAACATTGTTAAGACATGATTAGCCTTTTTTTTGTAACCTGTCATCTCAGTTTTCCCCTTTAGACAGAGGCTTGATGCCAACAGAAAATGTCAACTGTTTACCTCGGTTTCACCGTTTACTGCTTCGCTAAGCCGATGAACATACTTATACGTAGCATTAAAAATACATAATCTTTCTTCTTTCTTTCTGAACAAATCTTGTCGTTCGTAATCATTCCACGTGCTTACTTATTTTTCCAATGGATTATATACTGACAACTACCTACAAAATGTTGCATTTATAAAATTAAAAAAAAATAACAAAATTACTCTCTACATAATACTTGTGAAATATTCTCCCAAGGGAGTCTGGTGTTATATTAAGATGAAGCCCTCTGTCTTTTCTCAATACCTTTGTTGGTTAATAACAGAGGGATGTTACACGTAGATTAATTTGCCTCTACAACTACTACTACAAATACTTCCTTTATTTTATAGAGACACAGATTCTACGAGATCAGCAGGTAAATTGCTTCAACTACTACAACTACTTCTCCCTCTATTTTATTGCCACCCAGACTTCACTACATTTATACAATCCGCGCGTAGGTGTAGGATGGGCTAATCTTGGCGTGTATTAGTAATATATACATCCTGAGTTACATTAAGCTAAAAGATACAATTACCATGCAGTTACAAGTTTAAAGTTAAAGCTGTCTTTTATTGTAAGCCAACTCTGGTGCGCCTTTTATCATGGACATCATGACCTTTTACTCGCAAATTAATGCATCTTACTCGTGGGATCACCTAAAGTTTGGCTGACATTACGAGCTAAACCAACGTGGAGAAGCCATTTTTGAACATGCTTGAATTGATATAAAGGATAAATATTATGCTACATGCCTCACTCTCTGAACATTTCGCAGACCAACATATTCATATATTGACAAAATACGCAGAATCCAGCGTTACTCTGAAGGATTGGTTCACTACGTTACAGAAATTAGATTACAGTGGCAAGGACATCAGAAACACACCTACCTCAGATGTACTCGGCATACACCCCTGTAAACCACTTAGAGTGATGGAGGTCTCCTTTTGAAATATGTATCATTATTTTTTTTTAGAGGGCACGGTAACAAATCCTGCAATCTGATTGGTTTTTGATCCGGTCAGTATTTTCCTATCTCTGCCCACGGGCCACGGTAACGCTTTCGTGAGTCGCCGAGTACATCCCAACTTTCGTTACCATTTTTCATAAATATATCTCGTTTTTCCGGCTGGGCGGTATTTTTAAGCAAACACGTCGGCCACTACCTCAAGCCCATAAATAACTTATGAATCCTCTCTTTTCTCTCTCTCAGATCACTTTGGTTGACTGAAAATATATTGGTTTCAGAATGAATTTGTGTAAGCAATAGCGTCATTACGTTGGTTGACAAGCGGCCTATAAACCGTCTGCAAGTAATTTTAATCGCTCACAAAAAATACCTAGAAAATAAAAACGTGAGGTATTTGGTTACAGTTAACTGAACGATGGAACTTTCATTCATTTAATATCTGAATTTTCTCAAACAATTTGTTCGTAGTGAAAGAGCGAGAGAAGTTTTAATTTCAGTTCTACAACAAATATACGCTCTCGGTGAGTCTTTCCAAGTCCGTTCAATTTGGACATTTGTACCGTAAATTGCACAACAGAAACTGAAGGAATTTATTGAGAAAAGGCCGCGTTAAATCTCCTTGTGTCTCGTTGGAGTGTGCCATTCGAATTTAGTTTTTGTGGACGAAAGACCAGATTTACACACGCCATTGCAGCAAACAAACGAGCAAACTCTCACAACTTCAAATTAAAAAATTTGAATTTACTCACAATTACTTTCCTCGCCGTTTCCTTAATGAACAGAGGTAAATCTTCGAACATGAATGAATCGTCGATCAGAGTCAGATCATTGACTGTTTTTGAAGAAAACATTATCGTGACAGTCCTTGCCAAACTAGTTCCGTTGTTTTTCAAATCTTCTTGCGCGTTTCTTTTCTTACTTGCTCTCGAATTGACAGGTGTCATATTGTGACAGATACTTGTAAAAATAATGTTTCAAAGTTTGTTAAGAAGCCTTTTAAATCACCTCTATCGTTGCGGAAATGAAAATGTTTCGGTGAGGCATCTCTCTTTAATTTGCATCACCTCTATTTTAACCAGTTACTCGCTCAAACATTGTTCAGTTTATGGAAGATCTTGCCGTATTTACAGCCCTAAATCATTCGGGTTCTTTCGGAAAGAATCTCGTCAATTCAAAAAAAATGAATATATTATTTACCGGCTAAAGGTCGGTCCGTATGGTGAAAATTGTTCCCGGCCGGCAAATAACATATATTTACTTGATGGGGCGGGGCTATCTAGAGATACGACTAGGCCTATCTTGATTGTACGCGTAAAATTCTGAAAAGTTGCTCGTTAAAATACCAAATTGTTGTTGCTGAAAAATTGCAAATTCATACAAAAAGTTGCTACCTAAATACCTACAGGCTGCTGACTTCGTTCAATGTCGTTTCTAAGATATGTCCGTTTAGACTACCATTTAATGCGCTGAATGATATTGACTAATGGCAATGACATTGCTCTTACTTGTTAAGCAATGAAAATCGGAACAACAGTTTAATTTTACAAACGTTCGCCAGTTGGAGACGTTTCAACAGTTAAACTGATGGATTCGCTCTATTTCACAAACATTACCGAACATTGTGAGTCGATCAGTCTTCATTTATTTACCGTGAACTCTTAGAAAATTAGTTCAGCGACAAACGAAAAATGCATAAAAATAATCAATTGTTCTGATTCCTTCAGCTTTTGTTTACGACACTCTATCAATGAGATTCAAACCCTATCCACGATAAAAACTCGTTCTAAAATCAAAATATCCTCTGGCAGACACCTCTTTTCCTGAAAATGTTTCTGTGAAAGCCTCATGGAACATGAAGGTTAATGACAATAATTTTCTATCTTTGTGTTCCAGTTTATGGTTTCTTGAACCAGCCATACTGAAAGTAAGACGCCCTTATGAGCACAAACTAGGCTCTTCCCAAAATAGCGTCCAGCGAGATCAGTCCATAACTCTGAGGTGCTCGCGTAGAAGGCACATCTTTACCCTGAAGTTTAGACCCAACAAGGTACTCTTTTCCCATTTTCTCTTGGGCCCATAGAAGAATTTTGTCTATGGTGGGCGTCCCCACTTGTACGATTTCCGCTATACCCCGGATGACCACCAGTCCATACGGCACATCCTCTGTCAGATAACGATGAGAGAAGTCCGGTACGAAGGACTTATTGATATTCTCTTTCATCGGATGCTTCAGACCCTGGTACGCGGCGTTTGTGCAAAAACAAGATCGCAGGCTTGAAGTATCGGAAATTTCGTGAGAATAGAACTTGACAAGAAGATCATAGATGCTCGTTACCTGAAGCGGAGAAAGAAACAAACTTATCAAAAGGGAGTTAATCCAACCGATCGCTTTTTGCGCGCAAAATATTTCATGTACATACTTTTTTCATCATAAAATAGAATTACTTTATTTTTTCTTTAACGTAATATGCTTCCTATGCGATGTTATCGCTTTCTATGGGATGGTTGAGGAAATCAAAGACACTAGGCTGATCAGAAGTTAGTTAAATGAAGCCCAACAGGTTGGGAAAACGGTAGAAAGCTGAAAAAATAGAACATGAGTGTACAACCATAGTTTATATTACACAGACCACGACAACAATAAAAACAAATTCGGGGGTTGAAAGGAATAATTTTGGGAAAAAATTAATGTGGAAGAAAATTCTCATAAACTTTGACGCTCAGCGATCAGCCTAGAAGAGATTCTTCAATTAGCTTCTTAAAATTTTTCAGTGTGCCTATATTAATTCAATAAGAATTCTTCTTCCCTGTCTTTACCTGTGATGTGTCCACACCAGATTTTTCACTGACAGCCTTGCTCACTTTTAAAACCTCGTCGGAGGCACTTGACAAGACTTCTGCTGCTAATTCACTCAACCCAGTGTAAAACAGGGGCGCCTCTTTCAGAGGCTTCCCATCCCACCCTTCCCATTGAGCAAACATGATTGACGGATGGGCATACGCGTTAGGACTCATAAGAGTCATCCCAATAAGGTGCCCGGAGACCTTCAAACGAGGGTGGTCGCCAATCAGACTCTGTAGGGTAGTAACAGGGTCTTTTTTTGGTGCTGCATCTCTTCCAGCCTAACGAAAAATTATAATAAAAAACAGTTTTTAGAGCACGCTCATTTGGGATGCCTTTCGAGCCCAATTACTTTGTGCTTTTGTAATTCCAGTTCTTGTTAGATTATCTGGGAGAGATAGTCTCGCTAAGCACAAAGAACGCGGCCATGCTGAGACCAGTCTCAGGTCCGTAAACCGCAATTGTTACGGATTCGAGTGACCCTCTGGAGGTTAGAGAAGTCACGTGTCATATCACTGCATTATGATTAATTAGTAATTAGGGGTAATGTACAATGGTGAGAGCATCTAGCAAGCACCTGATGCTCTGTTGACAGTCGACTCGAAAAATCCTAACAATGCAAACTACATGGACATATCCGTTCTCGAATGAGTGCGGCCATTCAAACAGGTTTCGAGTTCCGTTGAAATATTTGCATTCTTCTGTTATTCGGTTCACCAAGTTTATTGTCCTTGAGACCGTTTTAGAAGCCTCTCATTCACATGAGCCGTAGTATTTTTGAAATATTCCAACGAACGCACTCGGCGTTCAAAAGAAGGTACATGGGTTAGAGGACGGAGAGGTCTGGCGCGAGGCTGACGGAATTCGAACTGGAGAAATCAGACTTTCAGTCCCTTATGCCTCTGTAGCAGCGACGTGCATCGTGCGTTTTAAATGATTCTGCTTACCTGCATAGCTCCTACCATTGAATCCTTAGTCCCTAGGACATCACATTTCCTGCCAAACTCACCCAGGCGACACGCCCAAGGCAGCGACTCAAAATTCATCACCGTACACATGTTTGCTTTCTCTCCCAGGATTCCCCGAACCTGGAATTCTAGTCCCGAGGCCCCAGGTAGACCAACAATTATCACACCCGGCTCGATATACGGCTTTAAAGCCTCCAGAAACACCCGATGAGCAAATGCTGGCAGCACTAAAGTTATAATGTCAACACCACGCACAGCTTCCTCTGGATTTTTAGTAATCAAAGCCGGCTTGGATCTGATGATGCTCGGTTCTTGGTCGCGCCGGTGGCAGGTGATCTCCAGGTCAGCGGTCTGCATGATTTTGCTCCACCGTTCAGCCTCGTCTTGATACAAACTGAGCACTCTGACCTCAGTTCCCCCATGTGATGAGGCGATACCCGCGAAGGCATGGGCTCCATTGCCGCTTCCGCAGATCAGAAGTTTAATACTGTCTGTCATAACTTCTTTTCTGGAAAACTGATTAAATTATAAATTTAACTTTGTGTTCACAACATCAAAGCCGTGAAGATTTTCAACAAATGGTAAATGGTTCTACAGCGGCAGGTTACAGTCGGCCGTCTAACCTAGTTGGGAGAGGGCAAGCATGTTGTGCTGACAATAAAAGAGCTCCGAGCATAACTTTTTGCCAAATTGTGGAGACAGTTATTTTGAAATCTTTCGTTGACATTTTTCTCAGAATTTTCTTCCATAAAGGAAAATTCTAATAAACAGTCGAAGTCTTTGAGCATTACCGATGTAAATAACACGCTGTGTGATTTCGTGACATTTCACGTTTCCTTTTTATTTCCCATATCGACAGCCACGTATACAAATTATTGGATATATAGCTGTATCAGTGCTAGAGAAAATAGTGCAGCTACTGATATATAAATTAGCCTGTAGGAAATACAAAATCTAAGTATGTACGTCTTTTCCCACTCTAAGAATATTTCATAGACCAGTTTTGCTCTGGTCCACTGCGGATTGTGACGTTTACATATGTAAATTTAATTTGATCTTCTTTAACTCAAAGATGTATGCAAATAAGCCGATCCGCGTTTGTGTTTTGCCCGATTCGTCGATCCGAAGTATTTGTAGTTTAATTTTCTTCAGATCTGGACGCGGGTATTTCAATACGAATAATTTTACGTGAAAAGAATTTACTTCAGCAGCAGTGTGGACGTATCTGCTTTGCCCTTTATTTACCCTATTAGGATTTTATTGCAAGTTGCGTTACAGCATAACATACGAAATTGCTGAGCCGTCGTGTTCAAGTCAGGAAAGTTTTTTTCCATTTCTCTTAATATTAGAACTTCACTACGAATTTAGGAGCTAAACACGAAGTCGAAAAAACTCCAATTTATCGCCTAAGGCCAACAGAAGTCTGCCTAAGATGGATATAAAATATAAAATTGAAACCGTAACACAATCAGGAATTAAATTTGAACTGATCCGCTGATTTTTTAAAACATCTTCAAATCATTGGTTCCTCTAGGACTAGACTCGCCAATCTGAAAACCTGCCGACCTTCCTCCGGTCTACCAACAAGATAGACGAATCCGAATAAGGTAATAATGACGGTGTTCTCTTTTCCTGCCAAAGGATGAACGAAGGATCTCCATCAGAACGTACACTTAGAAATACGTCTCCTGTCAGACTTACTTACCTCAGGATCAAATTGCCTTGTACAGCAACAGCTGAAAGTCGCAGAGAACCCTTTAACTTCTAGTGAAATTACCTTGACCGAGTATACACGAACTAAAAATGATGTCGAGGGGTCTCACGGGATATCGTGTATACAAATGTTAAGTCACGACATAATGAACAGTCAGTCACGCCATGATGCACCGTCAGTCACGCCAGCTTTAAAGATATCAATAGGATTCGGAGTACTGTCTATAAAGGTCTTCGAAAGCAATTTCCAGTTTTGGAGTAGCCCTCTCAGTATCCAGAACTGCACTCAACAATTCTTGTGGACATTGCAGTTCAACGTAGCACTGCCTGATCTTGTAAATTTCATGTCAATAGCATCTTCTTTCGAAACACAATCACCTCCTCGTGAAGGTCTCGGTGCGGCCGCGAAGAACAACTCTTCCGCGGTCAAATAGGCAATCAAACGTTATTTTTTTTTCCGAGACGCAATGATGTTGCATCGCAAGACTTGACCATCGCAAAAAAAAAATACCGCCTTGTCGTGGTTAAATTGGTACTTGCGTGGACTTGAAAAAAACAAAAGGCCATCCACTCGTCACAACTGCTCCGAAAAAGGTCTATTGTTATTCTATGATAATTTGGTTTAATCAACTGAGTTGATAAACTTTACAATCTCTTTACGGCGGTCAAGTTACGCTATCAACTCATTGCATAAACCAAAACATCTTGTAATAACTCCTCCACCACCGACGAAACTCCACCGTTTCATTCGAAACTTATCCCCCTTGCATATTCCATTTCCCACCTTTAAACGTTGATCTACCAAACAGAATCTAAGGTTTACTCTCATGCTTGTATTATCAATAGTGAAAACAAAAATAGGATGAACTTCGTAACGACTTTTATCAAAATATTTGTATCCCTAACAACACAAAAGAACTCGCTCTATTAAAATAACCTTTTCACGTATCTCTTAATCTCATTTATTGAAGAGACGCTTCTCACAAAGATCAAATTATTGCACTGATTTATCCATATGTACAACACAGATTTGGAATCTGAAGAGTGCGAATGAAAATAATAATTAAAAAACACATGTACACGTAACTGCATTGATAAAGTAATTATTTACAGCTTGGCCAAAATTTATTAAACAGTTCTTTGGGGAAAAACAAGCCAATAAAAGCTTGCGTATTGACCACGACACAGGAATATTACGTCATCTCTCGTTTTCTTTGCTCTTTTTCTTAAAGTTTTCCACCATACGGTCATAGTAGTCGCGTGACAACCAAAAGCACTGCTGGGGGTCCACGTGACTTGAACTTTAAAATATGAGAGGAGAAATAGATTAGTGTAAACTATTAATCAAGAGAAACAAGTCAAATTTGTAAGATTTTGGATTGGAGGGAATTCAAGAAACATACCTTTTCCCATTGCAGAACTTAATTACCAGCCTACGGCCATTTGTACCAGCGATCCAACCAGGTAAGTAAACAAACAGAGCTGAAAAAGAGCATATGACGAAGAGAATTCACGCAACTTTTACAGCAGAAAGTAAAGCAAAACTGGCCAAGGACAGTTTCATCTTGCATTTTTAACAGATAAATTTTTAAGTGAATCGGGAATAGTCCATTCCGAAGCGGGCTTTTTTTAACGTCACGCAACGCACAAAAGGCTTCGACGGAGACACGGCTTAGGGATAGAAAACGACCAGATTTTGTGGGATATGTACATGTGCGCACATGATAGCGCCGTCACAACTTCGCAAGCGATCTCGGGATTACAACCTTAGCTTTTGCTTTTCTCTTTCAATCCCTTCTATTCACGTCTCCACATGAGGGAATTACTAGGGCTCATCTATAAAGGCAACTAGCTAGACTGTCTATATCCAAGTATGCTAAAAACTTCTGAGGTTATTTCTGCTAAGAAACGTTCACTTAAAATTTACACACCTGGATCTGAGAGTGCGAGTACACGATCACCTATGTTAAGCGGGCGGCGTTTCGTGTGGGCTCCAAAAATGTAACCAGAACTCTGAAGAGTAAACCGCAAAAAATCGTCATAAATTTTTTGTCACAAATAGAAGAATGATTCAAATTAATTTCTCACTTTATTTCTCAGTGAAAACGAGATAACACGGATACTGGCCTATTTCATGCTCTATGTCCTAAGTAAGATTGATTCTACCAGCTGAAAAGAAACAGTTGACAGTTTCTGGTCAGATTAGCAAAATTTATATGATGTATTCAGACAAGCTCTCGCGCTTATTGCCTTGGAGAGTGTCTGGTTATATATCAAAATATAAATTAGAATTCCAAAATTGTTATCTTAACAAAAAGATGAAAATAGAGTTGTCCAGAGGGATACAGAAAAAGAAATACATCGATAAACAATGGCATGGGAAAAATAAATGGGAGAAGGTTTATGTCAAAAGACGTGGAAGCAAATGACACAGTGAAGTGCTCGTTGGAAAATCGTCCACATAATATATTCTCAGGCATTCCGCCATTCAAGCTGTGAACTGTGATTGTTAGTACCTGTAACTGAACTGTTTGATCAGCCCACTCGATGATGTACTGGCGGCCATTGCCAACACGTTCACGCACAGTCCCTGAAAGATAGAAGACAATGATAAAATAATTAATGAGGATCCACTTAACTGAAGCAAACTGAAAGAACTAGTTCCTTCCTGCCGATGACGCAAAGTTTAAAATGTAGTTCTTTGGAGACATTACTTACCCAGATGGAACATTCCATCCTGGTCGTTCCTTGCCACCACAGCCTGGCCGACCAAACTTTCTTCACACTGCAGGATGTAACTACAATCGCTCTCAAACTTCTCTGGAGTGAGAAGATACGTGTCCTCGCGTGGGACAACGCTTTCTATACCATCATAATGCCGTACGCATAACCCATACTCGTCCTTTTGCAAAACAGTGCCTGGGGAAGAAACAAACGAGCTTAAATAGAATGCCCGCCGCTGAGCACTGTTTCAGAGCGACTATCCACACTGAGGTGATAACCATGGACCATAAACAATCAGATCATGGTTCATGGACCTAAGACCATAACGCATGGACTATCATCCACGGACCACGTACCCAGAACCAAAGACTGGCTATCTACCCTGCACTTCTGAGAACAACTTCACCGCTGCCCTTACCTGGCGCGTAACTGTAAGGAAATGAAGGATGGAGGGCAACTACAGGATCATGTACATCAATTTCGTTATCAGCATCATCAGCTTCTGAAATGATGTCTGGACGGTAAATCTGTTCCAAGTCTCCCACGCTGTCTTCTACATAGTAACTACCGTCTCCACAGTCTTGGCGAATGGTGCCTAACGAGAAAGGAGGACAATCATACGATCATCAAACCCGAACAAATAATACAGCGCCAACTGCTCGCTTCAACGAAAGTTTGTGCGTTTGTACGTCTTTCTGCTTCTTGACGTCTGTCTATGTTATTGCCAGCCTGACTGTTTGGTCTATAAATATTTTTGCCTGGAGAAAAAGTGGCAAGTGCCGTTTGTTTATCTTGTGTCTGTTACATTGGTAATCAGTAAGTAGGAGAAAAGAAACATAAAGTGATCATTGAAAGGCACTAAAATAGTTCTATAACAGGCAAAGTGCTCATTCATTCAAGTACCGATGGCAGCGAGTCGGCACGATGACCAGGGAAGATTTTAGGCATATACTAAAACGCGCGAAAAAAAAGGGTCAGGGTTACGGTCCATCTGCCGCCCTCGCCTCCCTTAATTGCCTTACAACTTAAATGGCTGGCGCATACAAGTTTCAAAGGCTATTTAATTTCTGAATCTCTGAAGGCATTCTCATCGCAATTTGCGTTTTATCGAAGCAAAGATCAGTTGTCAATTACAGCATTGTCCAAAAATATCAAGAAAGGTTCTTACTAAACCGCACCCAACATAAGCGCCAACGACAAGATTCATACGAAGATACGAACAAACAGGCTTGCAAAAAGAACGGACAGGCTTAACAGAGTAATGTAAATGCATCTCGTGTTACCTCTGTAGTACCACCCTTCGTCAGACCAGCGTGCTAATACTTCTTCTCCCACCTGGACGGGTCTTCGAACACGTCCAGTTTCAACCGCGGGATCCTCGTCCGGAGGAAGGCGAGCTAACAAAAGGGTAAAAAAAGTTCTGATAAGAGATTCGGTACACAAATTAACCTATATGCGATCAAACATGAAATTATGTGTTCTTTTCCTTCGTTGGAGAAAAAAAAAAAAAAAAAAAAAAATAAATAAATAAAACAAAAGAACAGAAAAAATATAAGAAATAAATCCTTACATATCAAGAGTCCATGAGATCCTTTTGTCATCAGACATGCTTCGTTGCCATTGGATACGTGAATCTGGACTGAAGGAGGCTCTGATTCACTGCCAGCAGGGAGAGGAGCTGGTTCGGCCTCTTGCTCATCATCTGATACAGGTGGTGACGAGGAAGAGGATGAAGACGAGGATAAAGAGGACGAAGATGACGAAGATTTTCGTTTCTCGCTGCTGTTGGATTTCTTGTCGCCTTCTTTACTTTCTTCTTTATCTCCATCACGGTCGTCTTCTGTTCCTGGAGGAAGACTATGACTCGAAGACCTCCTTGAGGACTGAGGCCGAGGCGAGGCGACGGGTGAACGTGGAGAAGACGACTTCGTGGACTTTTTACCTGAACTGCGAGAGCGCGAGCCTTTAGATGAAGCCTTGCCTGACTCTTTGGTTGATCCTCTAGGAGTGGAGCGTGGGGATGAGTGAGCCGATGATGGACTAGGCGGAGAAATAGAGCGAGACCTGGGAGGAGAGACTGGTGGTATGTCGGGAAGTTTCACCCGGGGTCGCTCGGACCGAGTTTCAGATGGAAGATTGTTTGCTAGTTGTTGTAGGAGTTGCTGTTGCTGTAGTTGAAGTTGCTGTGTCTGGTTGAATTGTTGCATGAGTAATTGTTCTTGCTGGTCTTTTTGCTTCTTTAAAAGGTCATTCTGTTGATTTTGAAGTCGCTTTTGTTCCTCTTGGATCTCTTTTTGTCTGTTCAAAATCCAATTTGAAATTCACCATTATGAATATGCCAATTAGCCTTTGTTTTTTTTTAAATTCATGCTATCAAGGGCAGCTTAATCCCTGTAAGGGGAGGGTGGACGGGAAGGAGTTGAGTTTAGTATTGAAAAACAAAACGACAAAACCAAATAAAGGCAAAACCTGAAATGAAACATGTTTTCGATTTGCATCAGGATACTCAAGTTATCAGTGCTATCAGTATAACTGGAAATTCAAAGCAAACACAAGTTTATCATTTATGAATTTCTTAGTGACAAAAGGAGAAACTTAAGAAAAACATGCAACAAGAAACATGCGGCCAACAAAGTTGTGTTACTACTTAGTGATTTTAAATCATCACTTTCTCTTGACAACGAAGGGGAGTCACGCGCACCCTCAAGAACCCTTGGTAGCTCTGCTCCTAAATACAGCTGCCCGTACCTGTTATTCTGATCATCAATCTGCTGCTGTAAGAGTTTTCGTTGCTCGTCATCTAGTTCCCGTCGTTTCTCGTTCAGCTCTTCTGCCGCCTTTTCGCGCCGTTCTCTTTCCCTTTCTAGCTGCTTTTGCAAATCCTCCATCTTCCTCTCCACCTCAGCCAGCTGCCTTTTGTGTTCCTCTTCGAGCTCTTGTTTCAGCTCCTCAAAAGGTTTCCTGTCCCCAGATGACCTGCGGGGTGTCGCCTCTTTGGAGGAGGGTGGAGGACTGCCTTCGGCGCTTCCTCCGGGACTAGGACTGCGGCTTCTACTGCCATCCTTACGACTGCTGCCACGACTGCTGGCCCTACTACTCCTGCCTGAGCGGCTACTTTTTCGGCTGCTTGCCTGACTGCGAGGGGATTCTTCGCCACTCTCCTTATCTACAGAAGAAAGCAGTAATACTAAAATTCAAATCAATGATTTTAGTAATTGCTTGACTTGGTCCTTGACTCGTCTCCAGTCTTCTTAACAGCGCGGGCAGTTATGGAACGTGAAGTAGTAGAGGTTGCGAGAGACCTAGAGAGGAACACGTCATCTCCCTCCGAACCTCTTTCCATCCCCATTTTCTCTGCCACTTTGGCTTCGCTAACATTTTGGAGACGACTGGGGACGAGTCTTTTTTTAGCCAACAGCTGGTTTCCATTCACACTGCATAAGGGATGTCAAGGTCACCTTATTCTGAGTTAATCTCTGGGTTGTAAAATTAATTTTAAAAAAAAGTTAAACACCAAAGATGCTTATTTACTTTTGTCTTCTACGCCAGCATCGTCTTCGCCCTCTCTCAGATACATGGCAAAAGGGGTCGTTCTAGGAGAAGATAAGACAATCAATTGATATAACCATATTTTCAAGATTCAGTGCCGCGTGCCAAAGCTGAAGCACTGTTATCGGTAGGCCCCTATATTTTCTGTCAACGACATAGCAAACTTTGTGTCGTAGAGAGATCCAGGGATGCCTTGAACAATAATTCCTGATCCAGCTCGACTGCCCAACGCAGATGGATCCCCGGTGGGTTATGAAAGTTTCGGGACTAACAAAAGCGAGAGTCTAAACTCTGGCCAACTCACAGATCAATTTAACTTACGATCGATAAGCAGTCAGCAAAGCGTCACGGATATAACGACAAGCGAAAGTGTAGCGCGCTTTAGAGATCTTCACCAGGTCATTTCTCAGAGAGGTGATCTACAAGAGGCAAAAAGAAAAAATTAAAAAAAAAAAAAGTAATAAGGTATCTGATAAGTTCAATCGCAGGGAAGATTAATTTGAAGTTATAAAAGGTTGAAGAGAGCTACACCAGTTGTAACAAGAAATAACTCATCCCCTTGATCTAGGAGAGAGGTCACTCAGTTACGCTAATTACTTTTATCATTTCTTGCCCGTCCTAGGAGCAAAGAAGAGAACAGCTCTTACTGTAGGCGTACGAGTAGTGGCAAAAGGTTAAATCACCGTGCTCGGCATTAAGCTGTGTTATCAAGGCACTATAGTCCCACAGTACCTCTTACGACCCAAGAGAGTAAATGGGTCCCCGAGACACCTAACAAAATGCCAACAATTAGCTCTTTACTTCTTGCCATCCAACTAAATATTCTCCATACGGTTCTATATACATTTCCAATACTAATGACAAGGAGAATTTTTTTCACAATCAAGAAATCCGTTGGTCGGCGATCATGTTATTTTATTGTCAAAATCTTTTGTCTGATTCAGCAGTGATACTGTACGGAGAAATTAGATGATAATTTCTTTCGGGGTGTCAAGGGACAACCGACAATAGGGGGTGGATGAAACTTTCATGCTGCGCCGGAAATTAAGGGGAGCCTTAAGAGGGTTCACTCAGTAAAACGAAGCACGATAATAAACGCCGCCATAGCAGCGGAGGAGTGCAAAAGCGATAGAGGTTTAGGTCGTATCGCAACCCGACCCAAACCTCCCACCTCGTTTTTGCTCTGCCTCTTCTATCGTGACCGTGACCAAAAAAGCCAAATTCATATATTTCCATTTTTCAAACTCTACAGAAGTAAACTATGGTTCGTCTGAACACTTGAACTCACCTTTTTCCCGTTATATCGCAGTATTGTGTAGCACTTGGTGGCTGGGGCTTTTCTGAGAGGAACGACTTGAACGATTCCTGGTACATAGCACTGCACACCATCATTAATCTCGTCATCCTCTTCTTCACGTGGAACAAGCGTCTTAACGAGCACGTAGTCACCCACCTGAAAACAGGTCACGCAACAGGTTACAAGGGGACACTATTGGGATAGTCACGCAAAGCTTAATTAAAGCAAGCAATGCGTTGAGTCGACGTAGGAAATTTCAAGAGACTAAAGTGAGCTATTCCTAATGTTTCCATACCTTGAGGGAGGGACATGGTCGAGCTCCTTGCACGGTGATCACGTATCTGGACGACACCACTTGCCGGTCAAAGTCCCGGAAGTCAACCTCGACATAACGAGGGTTTAAACAGCGGGTAACCACGCCTGCGTAGTAAAAGCCATCCACCTCGCTTCGCGCCAGGACCTTGTGGTTAAGAAGGCGGTTCTTGTTGGAGTAGGACTGGGACGGAGAAGGAGAAGTTTTGGCAGGCTGTTTAAGAAAGTAGAAAAAAATGTCACTCAAGAGACCTCGATGTGATATGAACAATTACAAACAATCTTAATCGGCGTAAAATTCTAATATGAACGAATTACATCGATAATAGGACTAAAAAGTTGACACTGACAACCAATGTGACGTCAGTCTCACGTGATCACATCCGGGATACTGGCCTCTGCTAGCGTTACTTAGGGACTTCGACAAAGACCGTATGCATGATCGCAGACGTCTCCCATGACCCTGCACTCGAGCGGTTACATAAAAAGCTATAAAAAACAGCAATCCCTCACTCGTGGATAACAATCCATCTCTTACCTTTGACATGATTTGTTCAATTCTCTTGTTCTCAGCCTCCTCGCGAGCTTTCCTTTGCTGTTCTGCAATTTCACGGGACGCCTTTCGGAAAAGAAACACACTGATAAACACTGATTTGTACCAGGGCTCTTTAACCATATACTCTTATGATCTGATTGATGATCTCCCCCTAATTATCGCTTCCATACATTTTCGTTTGAGTAGGTTGTGAGACTTAAACACCATATCAGCAAAAGACACTCAACCTGATAACCTTGTATATCTCCATCAATTTTTTCGTTGATAATGAATTATAATTGTCAAAAGAACGTCTATTACCTCTAGGAGATCAACATCAAGATCTTTGTATTTTTGCAAAATTCCATAGTAATTTTTTTTTTTCAATCTACACAACTGTCCGCTTTGATAATTTTACAGAACTAAAGCAAAAACGTTTTAAGCCGGTGAAAACACCTACTTTTGGCGCATTTTAAGTTGGAATGATATTTTTTCAGCATTTAAACCAGACGCTACAGTCAAATGATTTTTACAAAACTACAAGGAAAGGAACTGAGAACTTCGAAATGCCACCCGCATCTCTTAAAGGTATGTGCTCAAGATTTCTAAATGTAAAGAAAAAACTTCATGATATGAGCCGGTAAATAGGACAACTAACCTGTTCAGATTTTTGCCGCAGGTCTTTGGACTGTAGGAGGTATGTCTGAGCTTGTTCGATTTCTCTCTCCAACAAAGTAATATCTTCCGGGTCTAATGGCCACCCTTGTCTCTCCAGGTCATCCAATATGGATTGCTTGTTGTCTAGGAATGAGGGGATCCTGTCTTCGGGATACCTTGTTTGATTATTCGGAAAGGTAACAAAAAAAATATAGCTGCTTTAGCAAGTAGTCTGCTTAGCAGCCTTTGTCTAGCCTCGTCACAAGGGAGAGAGCGAATTGTGAGACGAGACCAAACACCGGTTGCGAAGGAGGCTGGTAAGTAGCAGTAATAATTTCTATTCCAAAGATATGCAAAGCAACAGAGGCATCTCCTTACTTCATTCTTTCTTCATCGCTGAGGTTGACGAACACCTTCTCATCGAGACGCCTAAAATAAAGAAAGGAAAGAAGAAAAACAAAACATTAGAACACGAAACAAATATAACATAGTGAAAGATCACTACGTGGATTCTCTCAGAAACGGGCGACTTTAGCTACCTCCACCTTCGATAAAACCCCCAAAAAACGTAATTACAAGCCGCAGTTTTCTTTTTACTTCCTCTTCCGTTTGTTTGTTTTTTAAATTTCAGATAGGTTGCTGTTTTTGCGGTCATTACGCGAATCTTAATGAGCAGGCGGAACGGCCGCATGAGGGGAATACAGGCTCGAGGTCTTGAAATTCCATGTAAATAACTTGCGTAGTAAATGCGCAACATTTCCATTCTGATTTGAACATCTTTTCTCGAATCACATGGGATCAGAGGAGGCACTTCCCAGTCTGATAATTGGAAAACATCCGCCCTAACGAGACTGCAGACTACGACTAGTCTACGGTCTCGTAAGGGATGCAGAAAATTTGGATAAGCTATATCCGGCCTTACAAGTTACATAGCCTTTAGAGAGACTAACTTGACATTATTCACCTTTTGTAGTCTTCGATGGCTTTTTCTAACCGAGCCTCGTACGCCTTAAGATTCACTCCTTGTGGGTTGACCAGTTGTACCTCATCGCGATTGCTCCCCGAGGTGTGGGCTAATGGAAGAACCTAGAAAGAATTTAAAAAGGCTTCTTTTATTGAGGGTCTTAAAACAAAACCGAAAGCGAGAGGAAGCGCTTGGATGTTACCAAAGCGAGCCGCGATCAGTTGCGATCTTGCTTTTCATTTTTTGAGTTGGTGAAATTTTCTGTCAAGGGATATAGATTGAATCCTTCTCTATTCTTCGACTGTGGGATTGGAGAAAACGATCATCGAAAAGTTGATCTGAATGAACCCTGTAATCGCTTGAGGATTATTTTTTTAACGACTGTGACTGGCGTTTTGAAAACCAAAGTAGAAGTCATCACCATTCCTGGGTTGAATTGATGACTTCCGCTTGAGTTGTGGAGACGTCAGCGTTTTTCAGGCATAACCTCGACCAGAGAGTTGCAATACAAGATCAAAATGTTGACCCTGTTAACCTCCAGAGACTATGCAAGGTAAATTAGCCAAAGATTCTTGATGATAAGAGCGATTTGAACGAAGCTTACCCCAAGAAAGTTACTACGATCAGCTAAGAACATATTAGCCTAGATCTCAAATTTTCTGCAGACAAGAAGAGAACTTAAAAGACACGGTCTGGAGATTCAGTATATAATTACCTGGTCAAAAACCTTGGAGAGGACATGTTTGTCCAATATCGGAACATACTTGGTACTGTGAGGAATCAGCGTAGGGGCGAGAGCGTCCAGAATAGTAAGCCGTCTGGCTACCAATCCATGTTTCTTAAGCCATCTAGAACTAACAAGGAACCTATATTATGGTGAAGTCGAAATTTGCGTGCAAGGAAATGTGGCCCGTTTCTGCGTTCAAGAAGAGAACAGGCGCAATAATAAAGTAGAGAGAAAAAAGACGAGGTTTGGTTCGGTAAGCCTGGAAACCTCCCTTGAGTGGTTGAAAAAAATACTCGACTATCTACTTAAATTTCTTTTGCGATAACTCTGAAAACAAACTTTTCTCAGCTACTAGTACTCGTCACCACCAACACGTGTTTGCCCCAGAGAATATCAAAAGTTCGCCCGAAAAATACGGGCTAGCTCGTTGGGACACCTTCAAGCCTTTCCGATGCTGTTACATACGATAGAGCTGATACATTCAACTTACCTTTTCTCTTTTAATTCCTCGTCGCTAAAAGAAATGCAATTTTAAAATTTAGTAAAAACAAATAAACAAAGGCTGCGAAGTCATTTGTTCCTTTGTTTTGCTTTCTAGAAACTCTTCAACGCAAGACATTCCTTTCTGAGAACGCAACTCCGCGATTTCTTTGATCTCACCCTTGGAAATATTTTAATATCGAATACTGTGAAATCCGTGTGTGTAGAGAGATGCACACTCGGCTGATGAGTCCTAAAACGTTAATGTTCACGTTCAAAGTTTTCTGAAAGGAGTGGAGTAAAGCTATCGATTTAAAGTTGCTTAAAGTGTCTCTAACAGGTTGTATCTTACAGATACTGTTTGTTGGGCTCGATAGGAAGACTTAGGCTGGGTCATTAGAAATTTAAAAGGTGCTATGTAGAAATGGATCGTGTACTCACTTTTCATCTCCGTTTGAGCCATTTTTCTTCTTCTTGATCTTTCCTAAAAGTAAGACAGTGAAGACTTTGTAAGTAGACCTTGTGCTACACGGTCATTCTTTACCTCACACTTTTAACCAGACCCAAACTACAAACCTTTTACTACCTGAGCCCTAGGTCGATATTATAATGAATAGACCAAGTTTTTTACTCTTCGATTTACGACCAGGGGGAGTTAAAAAGAAAGTGTGTCAGTAGTTTCCTCAAATTCCATCATTTGTTTCTTCACTATAACGACTGAATTCTAAATAAAAATCGAACCACTAATCCAAAGTCAATACAGTTGGAATTATCGGAGAAATGAAAGTCTGAAATTGTTCACAATCCAGTCATTCTGACCTGAATATGATAGAATCGAAACCATAAAATGGCTGTTTTATCATCGTTATCATTGTCATTGTCATTAATATATTTAAAATTAAGATTGCATTTTTCTGGGTAAGCAACACCTGGCTACGTGAAATTTTGTAAGGTCATCCACAAAAAAACCCTGCCTATTTAGGTTACTACCATTTGTGTGTATTTGTATATAATTGTATGAAATTCCGGACATTTCCAATGATAATTTCTTATAGGTTTAAACAGCAAAACCAAATCATTACGTTTAGGTTGTTTAAAATCTTCAGGTTTCCTGCCAAGGTACTGTCTTGACTCTTCCAGCATCCAAGAATCCGCTGTTTTCTTCCTCAGGCCCAGTCTTAGCTGACTGGTCTTCGTCTCTCCCACCTTACGACTAACGGAGGATTGGGAAGGAGACCGCGGAATATCCCGGCATGCAGTGTTGACGAGGTAGTCTTTGTGACTGCTGTACGTTATCCGTGCACTGGTTGGGCGGGGTCTAGCACTAGCCGGTCGAGGCCTGGCAGATGCTGGCCGGATTCTGGCACTAGCAGAGCGTTCCGAGCCGGGTGGGGAGGGTGTCATGGTGTGTTTGGCTGAGAATGGCCTGTGCGAGGATGCACTGACGGATCTTGGATGGCTCCTGTTGAGGTGCAATATCAAAAACATGTTCAAAAGGTACGAAACGTAAGAATTACAAGGGGGAACAGAATTAATATAACTAAACCGAGAAAAAAGCATACAAAAGAAAAACAGGTTGCTACTGCCCTTTGATCATTCTCTTTCAATCCGAAGAAAGAAGGTCGGTATTTCATAATACAAATCTTTTGTTGATGTCATCTTTGACCTCATACCAAACAAAGTTTGGTTTAGTTCAGACATAAACACAGTCTTATGCACTACTCCGTTTTCCTAACTGGACGGCCACAGGAAACTCTGTCTTTCATCGAGCTTAACTTAAGGCATCTTTCTTGGCTGTGACCAAAATAGCTTTTCCCTACAGCCTGTTCAATAATCTACAGGAAGACAAAAGCTTTCCCACTAACACTCTGCATCTACGAAACAGCCGGAAAGAAGACTAATCTCAGGGTAATAAAACTATTCCAAGAAACTGTTTGTGGGAAATCGTCAGAAGAGTGGAGCTGACATAGGAACCGACAGACCTGACCAGACTGTCCATGGTACCTCAATAAAATAACTTTAATTAAGTATGGAAATCAGACTAGCCAACTAGTTCTGACTAAGACAATTTGCTCCGAGATGGCATTTCAGTTACTTACTTTGAGCAGCGCCCGGTGTTGGATCCAAACCAGTCGAGCTGCGCACATTCATTTCTGATCAAGGTAACTTTGCGCAAATCTCCCAAACCTTTCTCGATCTCTTCCCTCAAAAGTCTCAGGTCTTCGCTCTGAAATTCATAGAGATATCACTCTGTATTCAATCAATGGTGAGGGACGGTTTGTAAAGCACGAAAAGGTAAATTCCATAAATTTACAATGCACCGATCTTTGCACCTATTCAAGCAGCGCAGTTTTTGTACCGGAATTTTACGGAGCAATTATTTCAAGAAAGCAAAACACTTACTTCGAATGGCCTTGGACCATCTGTATCGTATCCATCTTCAGAGAAATAGTGAAATCTGCCGGACAAAAAAGCCAAAACAAAAACAAAAACACGAATGACCACATGTTAGTTTCTTTAAGAAACAAAAATGTTGTAAATTCGTCACAACTGCACATTTGACTTAAAATATCACGAAGCAGCTCTTTAAGTTGACAGTGGCATTTTCGCAGGAATACACGGCTTACCTGCCTCCAGTTTCTGCGGCCAACTGACAGAGAAACTGATTTGCTTCCGTGTCCGCACAGTTGAAGGAGATGGCGTGAATGGGGACTGGGTTCAACAACTGTACTTGGGCCAGGATAGAAGAAGGGGGCTAAAAGATAAAGAGGTACAGCCGTAAGAAACTGAGGAATACAGCAAGAGAGGGCAGCAATTTTGTCAATTGAATGTTGTAAAACCAAACCCAAAGAAACCACAGGGGTAATCAAAGGTAAAAATTATAAGGAGCAAACGGCAATTGAAAGAAAGAATGAAACATAAAACAGAAATATAAAAACACACACACACACACACCGATACAAAAAGAAAAATGCAAACAATATCAAGCGCAAGGAAACGGAAGACACCAAGCTGCGCGATTTGTTTTAGTCTTTGCATCTTTGATAAGGTTGGGCCACGCATTTCTAGTCAAATCACAAAACATAAAGAACACCCAATACAATCCTAAATCACTAGCGACACAACCGAAAAATTATTTAAAATTTAAACTCGTTACAAGCACTAACTTCAAATCCTCACGAGGTGCTCAAGGGTCGAGGAATAAGAGTAAACAGAACTATGAAAATGTAACCTGGTCTGGGCGTCCATCCGTGAGCAAGTAGATTGCGTGACACTGAGGATCAGCGAGGGCCAGTTTGAGAGCTGCTAGCGTGTTTGTGGAACCACCAGTGCTGAGACCTTTTACCCATTGCCATGCGTTGTCCAGGTTCTGAAAAGAAAAAAAAAAACGTTAAATTATAGTCTGTTCGCTGTGACGAAAATTCGGAGGAAGGAAAGAAAACAACAGCGATGACAATGCAGGTTCTTTTGCAAGATCTTCAAAACATCCTGCTCATAAAGACGACAGCGACACAACAAACAATATTACAAATATTGACTGATGACTACGTCGAAGCAACCTCCCCTGCACAGTTGTGTTAAATGCTTTAAAAAGCTGAGGTTTTCAACAAAAAATCCTTAGACTTCTACTCTTAGTTAATCATTTCCTCTCACATACATGTGTGTTACAGTCAACCAATCGATCTCTCCAAGCTTGGACTCTTGTGTCATATTTCACCAGGTTGAACTTCAGCTTATGACGTAACTGTTCCTAAAAGACATAAAAAAAATAATTTAGTTTAATCAACTGAATTGATAATGTAAATTGGCCATCGTAGAGAGTTTCTAAAGCTGACTTTACGAGCGTTGGCCCTTTAGGTGTCTGACGAAAGGCCAATGCACGAAACAAAATCAACTAACATCTTTTGTTCTTGCGATAACAAACCTGCATGAGTCTGTAAAGTTTGTCCTTCACAAGAAACAATCTTGAGGCCATGGATGCAGAGGTGTCTATCAACACAGCTACCTGTAACAACAATTAACAGTCAGTAACATAACCAATGAAGGTAAATCACTTCAGCCAATCAAAATGAAAGGCCCACTTCAGGTAGCAGGTTTCAAGCGCGAGAAAAGGCGAGTGATCAGGTCAAGGCTGGTGTTAGTTTTTCTGCATCTGATCAAATGGAACTGAGGAGCAAGTTCTTTTTCTTCTTTTTTTTTAACCAACTGTAGAGCGTAGTAAAGCATAACCATTACGATCATAGATTATGTTTTAAAGAAAAACCTGCACAAACCTGGTCTTCGATTATCGTGCCAAATAGTTCTCTGCTTCCTTGTTGTAACCACTCCATCCTACAATACAAACCAAATAACATTTTGATTAATGAACGTCAGAATTCATTAGCTAAAACAACCTTCACTGTATGTTCTCCTCAAGAAGCCATCGTAAGAACTCGCCTTCGTGAGCAGAATGACGTCACAGAGCCACTCGTGCTAAGCTTCAGTGGTGCCACTGATTGGTTGAAAGGGTGGCGCGAGACTTGTAGACCAATCACAAAGCGAAATAAAGCGAAACAAATCAGCATTCAGAATGAGGCGACACATCCGGGACTTTTTTCAGTGGCTCGCGCGAAAATAAATGTCCATGGAACAAAAGAGAATATTGAGAAAGATGTTTTTTCATCTTCTCACGAGCGTGGGACAAAAAATTCTGAGTCCCCTTGAGGAATAGAACCCCAGACCTCAGGCTCAGTGGTAGAGCATCGGAGTGCGGAATCCGAAGGTCTGAGGTTCGATTCCTCGCAGGGGAGTTTTTTCTTTGTCCCACGCTCGTGACAAGACGAAAAACGTCTTTCTCTATTTCTTTACCGAGCTCAAAAACTTCCAATCTTTCTTATTCTATTTAGAAAAGAGAACATTGCCTCAAACAAACTACCAGCATGCATATAGACTCCTGGATTTATTTTGGACACAATTGAAACTCGCTTTATCTCGACCGAGGCCCAGTTGCTCAAAGGGTGGATGGCGCCATCCAACGGATAAATTGCTATCCAGCGGATAAGTGTAAACAAAACTTACTGCGCCATCCACCACAAATAGAGATTCGTCCAGTGAATAGCGTTATCCACCTTTTGAACAACCGCTGCCAGCTCTTCAAAACTACTCACCTCTTTCTATATGAATCCAAAGCCGACAAGATCCTCTGTTCGTAATTTCTGTGTATTGGTCCACTGACGTGCACGTGCATTATGGACCCATCTTTCCATCGCACATGCGCAAACTTATCACAGTAACGCGCATTGACTAATTTAGGACGAACAATCTGTAGGAGAGGACAACATAAATGGAAGAACCAATTAATCTGCAGTGTATACGATGTTGTGAACATGTCGGCTATGAATATTTACTCGCTTTTGAAGAATTGTCTGTTTCAGGAAACATCCATCACCAAATTAAAAAAGTTTATTTTGTTTAGCATCCTCCCTGCGACTCTCACCATTCCCTTCAAAAATTTACCCACAGACAACCTTAAAAGTTTAATTCTATCGATCTCCTTTGTTGTAAGGTACGGTTGACACCTCTCTCCACCTGAATCTTTTGGGAGGAGAGAAACGAAAACTGGAATACGTCTACACTAGCAGGCCATCGACTCCCTTGAATGTAAAATAGGGTGTTCTGCTTATCTCGACTTACTTGATAGGAGGAAAGAATTCCCTTAAACAATTTTCCTAATTGCCATTGAAATCAACGTTACTGGATCTCGACATGACTAACTCATTAAAAGGTCTGCAACATCAGTTACATTTCATGCATCTTACTCACAGCGTCAGTACTGTCTAAAGAAACTGGTGCTGTCTGGATGTCCACGACTCCATCGCAGTGTTTAAAAGCCAGGCTCTGTAGCAAGTCATAGAATAACAGTTTTTTCGACTTCAAACCATGTCGCTGTGAAAACAGAAGTGAAAAATCGATTAGTATGCAAAATCTTGGATGACCACCCCCATAACTTTTACATGAGATCCCCTCATCCCCTTTGAAAAAAAAAAAAACGTATACAAGATACCTTTAGCCAGTCTCGAGAGCTCATGTACATTTCACTCTTTGCTTTAGTGTGGCCTAAGCTAGTAATTCTATCTTGAGTCTTGTCAGGGGCAGTGCTAGGAGACGTAGACACTGAAACAGGAACAATAAAAATGATAAACATCTAGAGCGCGCACAAGTTATCAAAAAAGTATTTTCGAGGTGTCATAATCTCCGCAAGGCGTGAACTTCCTTGCAGTCTTTTTGTGGCAAACAACTTCACCGGGAAGTCCCACTACAACTCAACTTTGTTTACACTATCGTTTGAGTGTAAACTTAGTTTTTGAAAGTTGATAAGTCAACATCATATCATGAAACATTCAAAAGGAGAAAAAAAGTACTTGGTTAACGCTGAAAGCAAAGCTAAGAATGAAAAAGCGCAAACCCCATGAATTTTCGGATTAAAAAAAGGATCTTGCCATGAGTGACAAGGGATTCTTGGTTTGCCAAACCTTCAGAAATTTGCTAAAAACACATTTTTGGCTTGGTTTTTACCCATACCTGACAACCGAAAAGGTACTCATAAAAGCTAACTTATGTAAAGTGACTGGAAAACCATCACTTTCCCTCGAAGCGCCATTTTACCCGTTGTGAGCGTCAGAGGCTCTACTGTATCAATAGCTGGCAGCTCGTAGCGCAAGCCTCGTGTTAACTTAACTATTCGAGAAGGCGTGAGATGTTTTAAGGACGAAACTCGCAATACGACTTGACAAAATGCCCACTCTTCAAACGGATTCAAAGAGTAAAGAATAAAATATCATCGTATAACGTTTGTACCTGGTGTTTCTTTTGGATCTTTAATTTCACACAGCAGAGCTTGAATCTCTGCCAAAGTGTTCCTTGCTTCATCCAACTCTTCCCATAAAGTGATCACATCTTCCCTGACACCCACACCAAGCTTCAAGGAAGGCATGCCATCACCTCTGCCACGCCCTTGGGGCTGCTCGGTGCTGTCAGCTTCAATGGACTTGGTAAAGCTGTCAAAGCTATCTTCATACTCATTAATGACTGAATAAGCATGGAACCTACAAAAACCAACAAAATTTTGCAATATACATGTAAGTACATCAAAATCATATCTCAACCTTGTTTCCTTTGGGGCGTATAGCTTACCTTCCTTTGGTTATTCTGGATATGTCCTTCAGAAATGTCACAGTTCCAGGATCATTGCAGTTAAAAGACACAACATGAATAGGTACACGACTCCCTTGTATCTGCAAAACAGAAAGTGATTAACACATTGCTCTTAGTCATTACCACATACCAACAATCATAAAAAAAAAATGGAAAATAGCATGGAAGTTGGGATGACAACTAACTTGCCACAGATGTGGTGCAGCTTCAATTCCAAGACCTGAAGCCACAATTGGGTTATAATTTTATTTTCATCCATGCCCTGGGGGGAATTCTCAGACTTTTCCTGTATTTTTCCCAACATGAAAATCAGCCCTTCAAGTTCCAGTAAAACCTGACAGGTAACAATGCACGAGGAACCACTCCTTGTAAGTCCATCTGCTAAATCTAATTATCGATTCTGCCAGTCGTATATATTCTAGATCATTTCAAATCATCTATTCACTTTTGTGACCAACAGTCCTCTGTGCTGATGTAAAATAGCACACCTAAAGGCAGGCCATCTGCCTGTGTGGTATAATTGTTTCTTGAAACTTATGCAGCTTCAAAACAAAATAAAGTAAGCAATCCCCAACATATTTCTATAATGGTATTCAGTCTACCTACCTTTCTCTTGAGCATTTCCTGTGATCCACTTGAAGCACTCCCCTCAGTAAAAAGATACACAGCTTCAATCTAATGACATGGGAAAGAAGTGGTTAAACTTTAGTACTCGCCATGGCTGTGAGCTGGTCAAATTCAAACTGCACTGGTCACTGTGACAGTGCACTTCTAGAGTTTATTATCACAAGGAAAACTAACATGTTGATCAGCCAGTCCTTTGAGGATCCCTTCTACTGTGCAAGTTGCTGAGCGCGGAACTGTTGTCTTCAGGTCCCAGAGCCAATTAAGAGCTCCTTCCATGCTGTCAAGAGTAACATTTACAGCATGCTCTTGCCAGCAATCTGAATCCATTGCACACCTAAAGTTGAAGAAAAGAGACATGGCTGAACTCTCTTGCCTTCACTCATCTTAACATTGGCAAGCACAGTATGAAAGTCTGTGTAAATATTTTTCAATTCTATTTTCAAATGAGCATAGTTACCTGATAAGGTTAAACTTTGCAATAAACATGACCTGTTCTTTTAGCAATTGTACTAGACCATGAAGGTAAGTACTGAATTCAGATTCACTTGTAGTATTCACGTCCAACACAATGCAGATGCAACGCTCTTCGATAACTCCAAAAACCCTCCGACTGTAAAGCAAAAGATCTCATAATTTAATTGCTTATTGAAACAGTCAGTTATTGTTTCATGTTAACTTTGCAACTGATCATATTTGAAATATGCATACAACTTTAGAAGACCCAAAAACTAAGAAGTAAACTTAAGTTAAATATAATTATTAGTTATTAAGTTTTAGGTACATAAAGTAATGGTAACATCTTAAGATTTTAAAATATTTAGCCATTGTTTAATTCATTGCTTAAATGTACATTTACCTCTCAGTTGTTAACCACTCAAGTCTTCGCTTGTAAAGTGATATAGCTTGCTTAAGTTGACTCTCTATCATGCGCAGTTTCTCCTTGCTGGCAACAAGCTGTCAAAGACGTAAATTTTTCCATTTTTGAAATCCCCAAAAACATTCTTTAGTTGAAAAGTTCTCCAAGGATTTATAAACAAAGCAGGGATCCCAAGGCCAATTGTTTAAACTACAGCTCTGCCAATTAAGTTGCAGAGAACTTTCAGAGGAAAGAGTATAAACATACATGTACTTCAGTCCATTATAATAAGCCTTTAAGCTCAAGAGTGTCTACAAATACCAACTAATTTCTCTTTCCAATATCACCCCTTAACCCTTTAACTCCTAGGAGTTGACTAGCATCTACTTTCTCCTTACAATATTGTCCTTGAATAAAACATTAAGGTCATGAGAATAAAGGAAATGATCACCAACTAAAGGAAGCTCTTCATTTCTAAACAAGTTCTCCTTGTCAGCACCTTAGGAAATGTATAGAGAACAGTATGGAGAATATGTATGCTGATGTTAGGGTGTAAAGGCTTAATCAATCATAAATGTCACAAAAATGAAGGAAATGATCTCCAGCTAAAGAAGCTCTTGATTGTTAAACAAATTATCCCTATTGCCACCTTATGAAATTTATAGAGAACAGTATGGAGAATATGCATCTTCAGCAGTGTCAAATGCCTTGAGATAGATTGAGAAGATACTTACATTGTACACTGAGCCATCTCTAAAGGGAACCTGGGTAAACAGCCCCTTACAATATCTTGCACGGACTGGTTTTTTAAGAGGCCTCACATAATCTGTACAGAAAACAACAATTTCAGACTAAAATTTTATATTACTCAATCAGTAGAACATTTATGTAAGCCATGTGATTTAGAATCAAGTTGTAATTTTAGCTAATAAACACACACCTTATGCAAAATGGCAAGAACCCCCCTAAAATTTGACATGCTCCTAACTTGTGGCTTTGTCGCTATGTCAGTAGTGACACCCAACCACATGTAGTATTTGGAAGGCACGGGTATTAATTTCTATGTATCCTGAATTTTTTGCCTACACTGCAGTCCAACTGCAAGGATTATTTCTTTACTTGTGTTTTGTCAAAATGTAAACCCAGCATGAGGACTGTCACTCCCCCTGAATGAGCTAGTAAACAATTACAATTTATCTCTTCCCAGAGTTTCATCAAACTTCCATTACATTTTTTCTGTCACCCACTTATATTCCTGGGTTGAAAGAAGCACAGTGGTTGAAATATATATTGTATGATGCCTTAGATTGTTACTCCATGGCCCAAACAGTAATCAAATTTGGCTCTCTTGAAATGGAGCCCAGAGTACCCAAACCATCAGGTTACCCATTGACTTTAAATTATGAAAGGAAGTTTTAAATAAAGAAATTAATGCAATACCATCTGAATGCCTAAATCCAATGGAAGGCAATATTTGTCCCATGTCAAGTTTGTGTCTTTTGAGGCCATGAATCTGAAGGAAAAAATGATCTAATGTTCAAATATCTATGGCAGATTCCATCATAGCTAGAGCAACTTCACATGATTACGCTGATCTTAGTTATTTTGTATAATGTATAATCATAATTAGTGGTAATAGAACAGATACCTTGAGCCACTGTGATGTAGAAAGGAGCATACGCACATCAGGTTCCCAGCTTGCTGTGTTTGGGGAATTCAAGCGTTCACTTTTTGATGGAGCAGTTGAGTCAAGATTTCCATTACGATCATGGTGATTCTTGGAAACAGGAGTCACGACTCTTTTAGCCTGTCTTGCACCTTCCACTGGACCTACATGATATTCAGTACATGTAAATATGGGTAACTTGAGACACACACAAAAGTTAGGATACACTAATTACCTTTCACTTGAGACAAAATTAGCTGAAACAAGACATTTAATCAAATTTAATTTAATCTTATGGCAGTCCCAAGTGAAGTCTCTTTTGAGGTAAGCCAAGGAAATGCACAAATACTAATATTTGGCAACCTTGATCAAAGTTAACATCAAGGAAAGCCACTTACTGGCTTCGAAAAATATACACAATTACCTATACCAAATAACTATAAAACAAACAAACTTGTTTGATTTTTTTTTTAGCATGCGCAAGGGAAAACCATGTAACAAAAATTAGAAAGTTCAGACAATGGGGAGTGATCAAATTTACAGGTAGCAAAAAGCATGAGTCTTGGACGTTACTAGTAATTAAACTGCCGTAGCACGTAAGCTTTGATAATTATGATGTGAATGCAAGTTCATTAGCATCCCTAAGTCACAAACCTCATGTGATATTTCAGACACGAAATATTGTAATAACTTCGTTTACCAGTGTTCAGAGACACTATGAACTTAATGACAAGACTCTTGAAGTGATAAAAATGAAATTGACCTTGTCTATGTAATGTAAACACATAGAAATGGAACATGTTTCACACAATTAAACTGCATTCTTACCAGCTCCTGATCCACTCCCGTGAGTATGGCGAAAATTTTCGTACATCATGATGCTAGCCTCTATCTAGCTTCATTGGAACATGACCCTCTTAAACCTACCGGATGAAGAACGCGACTCCTTAAGTGAATTTCTGTATTCCCCTGTTGCTACACAAACGCTGTCTCTATCGTCCTTCACTTCCTCAACCAATCATTTACCAGAATTTTGTCATGTGACTTAAAATCCAGCGGTTCTGTTGGTAAACACATTATCTGTTGTGTATACGGATTCATTTTGTCATTCAATTAAGTGAGTAGATCACGTTTGTTTGGTGTGAAATTGACACCAAACTGTGACAAACCATCATACAAACAGAAGCTTATGAGCTTACGACGACTTAAACAGAAGACAAGATACAACAACTGAAATTGGTATGTACCCAGCAACTGAGTTTGCTTATTCCCTTGGTTGATCCATTTCATTCTTTAAGCCTGGATACTGCCCAAGCCACTGTACATAGCCTGGTACATAGCGAACTGTATCTTAATTGCTATCCTTGCCATTTTTATGCTAACTTTTTTCTAATTTGATAACTAAGCCTTTAGTCAATCGATATTTTATAACTCTTCCACAGCGTGAGGCTACCCGCCCTTGATCTTGCTCGTTTGTAGTGACAGTATGGACTTCGACCGCGTTCTTCCTCAAGAAAGCTCTCCACAACTCGACGACGACACGGTCAAGTACGAGGGCGGTAGTAAACATGGAATTAAAGCTCTTATGGTCATGGACGACTTAAGAAAACGCCAACAGCTATGCGATGTAACGATCTGCGTGGGAAACAAACAACTGCGTGCGCATCGCATAGTTTTATGCTCGTTTAGTTCCTACTTCCTTGCCATGTTTACCGGTGGTATGGCCGAAAGCTATGAGGAAAGTGTGACAATTAACGAGGTCGATGGTAGAGCTGCTGAACTCCTCATCGATTATGCGTACACCGGAAAGCTCGATATCACTGTGGACACGGTTCAGTCCCTGCTCTTTGCAAGCTCATTATTTCAACTAACCGCAATTCAGAAAGCTTGTTCAGATTTCTTACTCCGACAACTTCACCCTTCGAATTGTTTAGGGATCCGTTCGTTTGCCGATACACATTCCTGCGCCGGTTTATTTAAAGCATCGGAGAAATACATACACGAACATTTTAACGACGTAGTACAGAACGAAGAATTTCTGCTGCTTTCTCCCAACGAGTTAGCTTTGTTGTTGACTTGTGAAGACCTAAATGTGAATTCTGAGGAGGACGTGTACAACGCGTTAATTGCGTGGGCGAGGGAAAACGTTGAAGAGAGGCAATCATTCTTAGCTGAGCTTCTTGGTAAAGTTCGCCTGCCGTCGCTCTCCCCTCACTTTCTGGTGGATCAAGTGGAAAAAGAAGAGCTTATTCGTCAAGACATCGCTTGCAGGAATCTTTTAGACGAAGCAAAGAATTTTCACATGCTTCCTGATAGGAGAGGCAAGCTCAGAGGTGAAAAATCACGCCCTAGAAGATCTACCTACGGAAGTTTATACAGTGTCTGTGGAATGGACTCTACTGGTCATCCAGTGAAAAGCGTGGAAAAGTATGACTTCCACAGTGGCAAAGTGAAGCTTGTGGCACCCGTCAACACTGCTCGCAGTGGAGTGGGTGTGGCTGTACTTGATGGGAAGATGTATGCTGTAGGAGGTCATGATGGAACAACGTACCTGAATAGGTAAGTTTGACGTTAATCTAAATAACTAACATATCCGATGATCAGTTGCTGCTCAACATACTGTTCTCTCAGAAAAATTATCTGGGGTGGGGGTGGGAGGTGGGGTGTGAGGAGGTGGTGTGATCCTGTAGGCAATGACTTGTCAAATGCTGATGTAAAAAAGGTACATTCTCATAAAATAATACATGTTGGCCATTGTTTTATTTTATGAAAATTTGCCTCTCTATTTCCATGGTTGCTGGAGTATTAAGCCTTGAGATGTTGTGTGAATTGATAGTCAGCCATTTTGTTTTGTCAAATACAAAGAAGAAGTGTTTTCAATGGTTGAATAGAAAATATTGGGTCAATAACTGGTGACTGAAAAAGTTGAGTGGTTCTTTGTGTAACTACTTTCACACTATGCATTGTTTCTTTCCCAGTAAGTAGAGGATGCATCAGATCACAAGGTTTTGAAGTCATTATCATTGTGTCCTTGAACTTTTTAACAAAATAACATTATAACTGTGAATCAAGTACATATATTTTATGATTGGATGGTTCCCAACATATTTTGTAAATTTTTTTTGGCTCCTTAGTGTTGAATGCTATGATATCAGGACAAAGCAATGGAAGTATGTTGCATCTATGGCACACGCACGTCGTTATGTTGCGGCAGCAGCCTTGGATGGCCTTCTTTATGCTGTTGGTGGCTACGATGGCTTTGCAGTTCTTGACTCTGTTGAAGTGTATGATCCGAGACTGGACCAGTGGAAACCTGCTGCTAATATGGCTAATCCCCGAAGACATGTTGCTGTAGGTGTTTTGGATACAAAGGATGCAACTGGAGATGGCTCTGGACCAGGTATACATACAAGAACACAATGCTGTTTACAAAGAAAAAGCTCTTCGTGGTATTTTGGTCTGTGACCCACATTAGAGAGCTGCTATCTTCTTTAAAAATTGATTCCCTTACAACCTTTTACAATTAAAATAGCTCATACAAATATTGGTCCCAAAAAAGGCAACATCTTTGGGTATCTCATCATTTACAAAAATTTGAACTTCGGGTTGGGATATATAACATAGTGTGTGGGTTTATGTTTTATTTTTTTTTTGGAAAAAGGCTTCCAAACTGCTCTTAGTCAAAAAAGTTTGGCCTCACAAACTCAAGGGCAGTCAGCTCAAAATTTGTCCAAAACATCAGTGATGTGGGTCTTTGGCAGCAAAGGAGAGCTGTGCATCCCATTTTAAGTTGTCCAAGTTTATTTCTGGCATGATACAATTAAAGTTCAATTTTGAGAAGGTAAATGTTTGCTTTTGAGTGAAAGATTCAAGTCTGCTCCTGTTCTTGAAGTTAACCTGTGTTTGCCTTGTAAACTTGTAGGGTATCTGTATGCTGTTGGTGGTCATGATGGAATCAACTATTTAAAAACAGTAGAGAGGTACAACCCAGAGACGAATGAATGGACTTGTGTGGCATCCATGGGTGCACGAAGGGGTGGGGTGGGTGTGGCAACTCTTGGAGGATGTCTGTATGCAACTGGGGGTTATGATGGAGCCTCCAACCTGAGTACATCAGGTAAGGTGGAAAACTTGGAAAAATGTCCTTTCCCCCATAACATGTTTGTTTGGAAAGAGGGAATCCATGTAGAGTGTTGCTGGGAAATGGTTAACCAAAAGAAGGAAGAGGGGCTTCGAGAGTTAACCCTTTAACTTTCAGAAGTGATTAATTCATAACTTCTCCCTATAATATCCATACATTATACGGCAAACAGGTAATGAAAATACTCAAACTCATAAGGTAGGAGTTCTTTTCTTTATCAAACACTAAATTCTCAGAACCAATTTCCTGGGAAATGTGGAGCAGGTAAAAGGGAGAATTATCAATAATCAAGATTTTGGGAGTAATAATTTGATTACTTTCATGAAGACCCTTTTCTTTGTAGTCAATATTTTTTCAATCTTGTTCTTTTATTTGTGTTTAGAACGCTATTACCCAGATGAAGATAGATGGGCATTTGTGGCTCCTATGAGTGTATGTCGCAGTGGACATGGTGTAGGAGTTGTCAATGGTTGTTTGTATGCTCTGGGTGGTCATGATGGAGTGTCATACCGAAATAAAGTAGAATACCTCAATCCTCAAGTTGGTGAATGGACAACTGTTGGCCCAATGGGAATGAGCAAAGCTGTTGCTGGAGTCGCTGTTGTGAAAGAATATTAGTGTCTGTGCTTTCAAGTCTTATCTTTACCAACATTTTTTTCTTAATGAGTGAAATTTATTTTTCATGCTATGCATGTTATGTTTTTAGGAAAAATTTATTTTATTATTTGACTAATTCACAAACTATGAATAATTTCACATTGGGGCATTTCCCAAGATGTTGTGTCTATTGTTATTAAGAATTAACTAGGTAATGCAGAATTAAACAAAAAAATGGATGTAGGGTGAAGTATTCCCAGCTTCAATTGTCACTGAAGGAGACATTCAAAGCTTATTTATCACTCAGGTAAGTGTAAAAGATTCCATTGAACACACACAAGCAAGGATTGGCAGTCAATAAAATTGAATGGCTTTCCTCTTACTAAATGTTGTACAAGGGGAACTCCTTTCTTGCGCCTTGTTAACCCTTTAAATCCTAAGAGTGACTAGCATCTAATTTCTCCCCACAATATCACCCCTGAATCACACATTAAGGTCACGAGAATGAAGGAAATGATCACCGATGAAAGAGCCTTTGATTGGTAAACAAATTCTCCTGTCAGCACCTTAGGAAATGTATAAAGAACAGTATGGAGAATATGCATACTGATGTTCGGGTGTAAAGGGTTAAGTTTCTGCTTTATTGTGTAACTCTACAACTTGTGTGTTGTTGGCAATCACCATGAGTGATATGTTTAAAAAAATCTAAGGGCAACTGTTACAAAATAGTTATACAGCCATGCTTCTGATTGAACAATTTTCGATCTGAATCAATTGAAAATATTTATTTATGGTATTAAGTGAAAAAAAAATTAAGCTCAAGCAGAATGTAGCTGTGCATATTTTGTTCTGGTTTGCATGGGGGTGATGTGGAGGTACAGCATTCTTGCTTCAAGGCAATTCTGTTGCCTCTGTGAACCTTCTGACTCCCGAGATTCAATGAGTAAGTCTCCATTTTAACTCCCTAATATTTCCCTGATGTCTTATCAAGATAACACCAAGGTTTTAGGGTTGTCTGATCTCACTTGTTTGTAAGATAACATATTGGAACCGTCAAGAGAAGTCTTGTGTTAATAACTTCTGAGAGTTTAGGAGTTAAAACTATGGGAAAAGCAGGCTCCCACCAAATAAAAATATTTAAAGAAGCTGTTTAAGTATGTTAAGAGATGTGATATACTTCCTATGGAGTAAATTAAATAAATTTTAAAAACCTTTTCACTTTTAGTCTTGATTTGTCTGTAACTGATGGATTGATTCGTTCCTCAGCTGAACGTCTTTCGGTTGGATCTTTCCGAGCCGTTAGCCCAGTGATTCAGTAAACAAACGTAACGTAAAAAAGACTATACGAACAAAAGTAACAACAGTAAAAACGCAAAGTAAGCAAAATGCAACAATCATTTTTTTTTTTTAACAAAAACCCGGCTCTATGGGCTATGGTAAATCCGACAGATATACATAACAAGGGAAAACAAATTATGTCACCTTCATAGAACGTATTTTATTAAAAATTAAAAGTACAGTCCATTGATTCATTTACTGTTCATTTTTCGCTTGTCTGAGAAACGTAAATCTGAATGGGACTCTGGTGCAAACAATGTTATCTGACCTTTCATCAGAGAAAACGCCAACTATGGCATTCGAAAGGAAATTTATAACATTTGACGACGAAAAAAATACACCACATGTTTGTGGTAACATAATTCATATTAAAATAGAACGGCTAAAACGGCCATGGCAGACGTCCGTAGAAATAGCCACCGTTTATTCGCGGGCTCTGCACACAACCATTGCTGCAGTTTAATGTGTCAGACCGCCGAGGACTGGGCCCACTGCTGTGATTGGTTGCTATTGACAGACATGGCATCAGGAGTGGAAGGTACTTCAACTGATGTACGAGCCAAGATTTCTCGCTCCAGTTCCTCGCACTTCTGGCGAAGCTGCAGGGATAATCAGGCAGACAATTAGTTGCAAACCCACTTCGAACGCCAGTTCTAAGTTGATCGATCCCATAACCTAAATTGCGTCCTTACCTGCTCACAGAGGAAATGTAACTCTCGGCTTCTCTGCTCCTCAGATTCCTTCAAAACAAAAGGTAAAAAAGCAGACCCTTAGTATTAGCACTTTGGTACGAGCGTTTTTCGCGCGCGGTTAAGTGCGAGCCATTGTGTAATGGTGGAAAATATCAAGTGCCAGACCCTCAACAAACCTCTCCCCAACTCGGCTAAAATCCTCTTGCGGGCAAACAGACGCGCGTTTTTGTTCGCCCCTTCCCAACTCCTTCTCTCATTAAACCCCCCCCCCCCCTCCTTTCCCCTGGTTATAAGCTTGTTTGCATGAAAATGGCCATCGGCGAAGGTACTGCCTTATAAACATCTTCGCTTCTAGGCCCCAACTTTTGTTCGAATTGTTACCTTTAAATAGTCATGTTCAAAAAACTGAAGGGAGGTAAGATGGATGTGGAAATCCTCGACAAACCCACAAGAAGAAAAACGAGGTCAAAGAGTAATCTCATTTTTTTCTGTTCCCGAAAGACTACGAGCAGTCCCAACTTTTCGGTGTAGTCCGTAGCGTGAGCCAAAAAATTCAGTAAAAAAAGAAAATGAAGATACCGCGCCGCGCGGACCTGAGGGAGGAGGCATACCACTTTTCGCACAATAATGCTTATATGGTATTTCAAGGAGTAAACTTGCGAACCTTTGCGAAGCAATGAACGTCTGCCGATTCCTCCACATCGGACAAAATGAAATGTGTAAATAAAATCACTCCTACCTGCGGTTGCATTGTGGGATTCCAGCGAATGTAATAGCGAGTCCACAGATCCAGTCTTCTCATACTAGCAACAGGAAACAAAACCTGAAAAGAAACCCCAAAAGGAATATTACTGAATGACTTTTTTGCGGATCTTCTCACTGACTGACGAGCCGACCGACCGCACAACGACCTGACTAACTGCCTGACTAGCCGACCGACCAAGCAACGACCCGACCAACTGTCTGAATGATTAATTGACAAGCCGGCTGGTATGCTAGACGAATTCTACGTCTGCACCACAGCCGTTCATCACTTTGCGTGGCAGGTGCCTGAGTTAATCGGGCGGGGTGAGAATGTCACGCACGAACAATAAGTCACGCGTGTCTGATCTCTCTTTCACGTCTTACTTGCGTTCTTTTAGCGCGCCTGCGATGCAGGTTTCATGACTAACTGCTTGGGGGTATAGTGTACAGTAATAGAGTAAATGGTTTGAACCCAGGGGTAACACAGTGTACAGGGTTGTACTTACATGCTGATGAAGATGTGGAGCATACAAGGGATTCTTAAACTCCATGAGCTGAAAACGTAGGCAAACGATTCCATTAGTGACTTGAAAGAGCCGGAGAGATTAAAAAAAAACAAACAAACAAACAACTGGATATTATTTCAAAGTATGTTCGATTGAGGCGATGAAATCCACCGTGTGTAAACTTGCGGTTCTGTCTGCCTTACTTGACTGGTACTTTGACGAAAGGAAAGAAAGCTCAAGTTACTTACACGTGTGTTAATGTAAGTCCACAGAGAAACAGTCTTAACTTTCACGTCCTAAAATGAAACAAAAGTGACAAATAAGGAAGGAAAGAAAAGAGATCGGCGAGCAGGCGAGGAGTAGCAATTACAAATTGAACACAAGCTAGCGTCTTCACTCCAAAAAACAACTCAGTGTGGATAAAATGGACGAAACAAGGCAGCGAGCGTATATGTTGTGGTTTAATTTTATCCTTGGTTCAAATTTTATTTTCTTCCGTTTCTAGGTGTTGTAATGTACCATAATGAGTTTGAAACAAAGGAAAATAAAATTTGAACCAAGGATAAAATTAAACCACAACATATATAAGCACCAACCCTACACTCACCTCTTTAACTCTTTGGTACTCTGAGTTGTACAAGAAAGTACCAAACAAGCAGCTGAAAGATAAAACGAGTAAAAAATATTTAGTGTTAAAACCCTTCCCGACAAACGCGAACGAGTTCCAGCTGAGAAAAAAAAATGCAAAACTGAAGCTTAACTGAGACTAACGTTCCATAAGTTTTCAGTGTCTCGGAAGATTAGAATAAAAGGCAGATACAAGGAACTGGTTGCGGTTACCTTGTAAGATGATCCAACACAGTTATCAAGAAATGTTCGTTGAACTCGAAAGCACAGGGAAACTGAAAGATAAAAACAGAATACAGTCGACTGGGGAGAGAGTTCTGTCGTAGCGTGAAGGACAATTTCACCCTTCCACTCCCACGATCACATTAGTAATTCTCCTTACTGTTTGTCATACAATTCTCATGATGTTATTTTGGAGAATTTGGTATTGGATCAACTGATATCCCCTAATTTGATATTTTTCTTTATTCTCGTCACTCGTCTGCTTGATGTTGTTTCAAAATTCAGTGTAAGGAGTAATTCAGTTTTGGTCACTCATGGGAGTTAAAGGGTTAATCTTTCTCAAGAAGACTTCCATAAAGCACGCAGAACTGTCTTCGAGAGCAGTGAAATAAGTGAGACAAAGTCGACATCGAGTGTTTGGACCATTTTTTGAGCAGAGGGATTTGAATTCAGGAGCGGAAAGTGACCGACATTGCATTGGTTTCACTTCAATACACCTTTTGATTAGTGTACGTACACCACCGAGAAAGACAAAACGAGCGGAAGGTCTCGATGAGTTCTCACTAGTTGCTTGTGATATTTGCCTTTGCTCCGATTGGCTGGTGTGATTACTTTGGTTGTGGTTTTCCACACTCTGTTGAAAACTGCTCTGTAACACAAACCTGTTTGGTGACTTGCCACACACAATCTATGAACTGAAGGAATACTGGCGAACGCTGGTCATCTGCGTGATTCTTGTCTCCGTGGCCATAACGCTAAAATTCCAGAGTATAGTAGTTAGGTAGTGGAAACAAGCAAATGAACAGACTAAAAACAAAAACAAAAAGGAAGAGGCGAAGCTATTAAGTGACCAACCGTATACCTGTTGAAATTTATGCCCAAAACTTGTCCACTCTTTCTCAATCAGAACCTGTGGAGAAATTATAGGCAATACTAATGCAGTATTCTTAAGAGACACCGGATGGCATTCCACAGAAAATATTTTAAAATTTACCTCAAATCCTTCAATGGTTCTGTAGAAAGGATCAAGAAGAAGCATAGCGAGGGCGGTAA